TTTTGGGATGATGGTATCAAGATATTTATTTATCTCAAAAATAAATTTAGAAGGAAGTATGCATCTTCTGGCCAAATAAACCTGGTTTTACCATAGATGGGAGTTGAATCCAGTATTGACTAGAGTGTTGGTTTAAAATCAGGAAAATCCTGGGTTCTCAAAACAAAGGTTTGGAGACAATGGAAGTTGCAAACCAGTGGAATTGTTTCTTCTTTCAAACTTTAACAGGGAATAATATCTGATTTCAGTAAAACAAAAATTAAATTTTAGTGTTGGAAGAAACCAAGATTTTTTTTAATACTAAGGAACACTATTTTATGATGAACCAAGCAGAACAGCAATGAGATTTTTTAAAATCATCAAGATAGCTGTAACTAAATATGAAAACTGCCAGCTTTTGATAAATTCAGTACACCAAATACAGTTGACCCATGTGTATCAACTTTTGTGTAAATTCAAATCCTGATCTATTAGGGTCCAATCTCATGGGAGGCCTTCACCTATATAGGAAGGCTTTCCTGGTGCAAATATTGTTGCTGAACATCAATATATCTTTTGAGAGTAGATATCAGCTTGACTCTGAAAACTGTTTCTGTGGTAATTTTTAACCTACAGTAGAGTCTCATTTAACCGACCTTCGCTTATCTGACATTCCATCTTATCCGACGCCCCTAAAAAAAACACAACAATATGCATAAATCGGCGACAAGAAAAGTGTGCTGCTTGTTTGTGAGTGTGAGTGTACTCTTTCTTGTTGCTCCTGATGGTGCGGCGCCGCAACGCAAAAATCAGTTGCAACAGGCGCAGCAGATCGGGTTTTTTTTTTTTTTTACCGCACTCAATCGTTACTGTGTGTTATCCGACATTTTCACTTATCCAACGTTCTGCCGGCCCGTTTATGTTGGATAAGCGAGACTCTACTGTATTTTATACCCCAGAACAGGGCTAAAGAAAAGAAAGAAGGGGGAAGTAAGAACAAAAGGAAAAGGGAAGGGAAGGAAGGGAAGAGAGAAAAGCACATCTGCATAAGAAAGTCAGAGTTCCACGATACTCAGGTATCAGCATGTTGAAAACCTAAAGCCAACAACACTTGGATTAGTACCTTCAAGCAATCAAGCTCTTGTTTATACTCTTCATGTTGAGTTCTTAGAATTCATCAGAAAGGAACAATAACATGTGGCCAGCCAAACAATAGTAGGGCTACCATATATGAAGTGCAAACCTCTGGTTAGTCACTAGATGGGAGCAAAGATAAACAGAAAATACTGAACTTTTGCTGCCATCTAGTAGTTGTTCCTATTTTTGCGGTCCTGTATGCAACACAGCTGTTGGAGAAGTGAGTAGTTACCCTTCCAAGCCACATCCCAGAGAAAAGGCAAGTGTGAGAAAGAGCAGGCTACTTTTCTTTCCTTTCCTACAGTGGTGGCAATTACAAACAGCTGCTCTGGGTTGGGGTGGGGAGTTGAAAGAAAGGAGGAAGAAGGGAATGGTAAAGGCATTGGGGACATGGAGAGTGGAACATCAAGGGATAGAGGAGCATCGTAGGAAGCACATGGGAGTAAAACAGAGCAGACAGTGAAAAGAAAGGAGCAGAAAAGAGTGGCAAAGAATATAACATAGAGGGGAGGAAGCAATTAGAGAAAGGATTGGAGTGTGGATGGCAGAAATGGTGGGATGGGTGGTAAGAGGAAGAAGTACAATAAGAGGAAACAGTGGGATGTGGTGCAGAATAAAGACTAATATAGAGATAGCAGGGAGGGGGACAAGCAGAAAAGTAGAAAGGGCTGCAAATTCAGTGAAGTAATCCAAGCTGAGCAGTGGTCTATTCCAGGGAAACTGCATCAGCTGTACCCTTTTCCCGTTTTGTACTCTCAGTCAGTACGAAATTTTCCTATTTCTCCCATATCCCTGGCTGCTATGCTTTTCCTTTAATGTTCTTTACCATTACTCTTAACTTTTCTGTCACAGTTGCAGCAGCTTTATCCACTTTTCAACATTCCCATAGTCTCTAACTTGGGATACTGTTTCTGTGGTAGTCAAGGCTGGTAACCCATAACACAAAATCTTTTCCACATCTGAAGAAATTAGTTCACAGTTTCACAGTTTCAGAATTAAATGGTTACTACATGTTTGCCTGATACGTGTAGTGAAGTGCAAATGGTGCCTGAATGTGTTTGTACAATGCACCAGAACTTTAGTAGTCTTGTTGAGTAAGAAGTGTGCTTTGCTATTTTTGCCATAAGGTGACACTGTGATACAATGAACAGCTAAGTTTCCTTTTATTGACAATATTTCAATTGTCAAAAATTGAAAAAAAGTCAGTCTACTAAATGCTTACTTGACTGGCATACCATTCATATAATTAGTTGGTGAGAATAAATTAGAACACTTCCATGTGTAGATTGTGAGCTAGATAATTAATTATTGCTGTTAAATATACAGGTTAGAACATTAAGGAGAGTAGGTGTTCTTTCACCCTATGGAACACGCAGTAAGAATAAAAGACCAGTATAAGAACATAGTTAGCATACTTAAATCATAGGGAAGAGAACCTGGGTAGGTACAGGAAGAGATATGGGACATTATGAAAACTGGACAAATTATTCACAATATTTTAAAGAGGAAAAGATCTAAGTGTCTTTCAGTGTCTATCAAAATAGGGAAAGATGGAAGATGAAAGTATGGATAACTAGAAGAATATATGTGGAGGAAAAGCCCTGCAGCAGTCTGCATGAGCCCTTCCTTCCTTTTTACTTTTACTCTGGGACTTTGGTGCAGCCAAATTAGCTGGACCACACTTCTGCTCCAGCTACTGAAGGAGACATTTTTTGAATTTGGAAGCAGGTGTTTTGGGAGGAGACTCTGGTTGGCATGTGCCAGAGAGGGAGGAAGGAAAGCATTGTGAAGAAGGCAGGAGCAATTGGACTAAAGGAAAGGCTGCTGTGGTGAGTCCACATGGGCTAGAGAAGAAGGGGTACAGCATTAATATTAGGGATGTGGGTGGTGATTGAAGGCACTGAAGAAGAATAGCAACTGCAAATGTTGGAGCCCCACAGTAGAACAAGAGTTGGAAACAACAACCAAGCCCAGCAGCAGAGCCTGCTCGTAGCCACAGTATCAGTAGCCAACTCATGCTGGTAGCAAACTTTCTCCCTCCCAGCAAGACACTGAGAGATGCCAAAATCCCAATGGCAGCTCAGGTCAGAGACTTGGCTGAAAAGCTTAGAAAACGCCAGCCAGCAACCAGGCCACCCAAATCTGTGATGGCTAAGAATTAGGGTGAGGCGAAGAGAACAGTTGCACTCCACAGCTGGAACAGCAGCTAAGGACACAAGGCTGAGTCCTAAGAAGGCGTTGGCAATTCAAGCCTGGTTACAAAAGAAAAGAGGGAGAGGCAGGGGAAAAAAACTTGCAGAAACCACAGATATAGATATACAAATTTATAGAAACCTATAGAAATACAGTACATAGATATAAGATACAGAAATGTAAGGTATAGAAGTATATGGAAATAAGCCACCGAGATAGAGGTAAGAAATGAAAGACATAGAAATAAAGCCTAGCTATTTGAATATGCATATATTCTCAATTTTTTTAATAACAAATCTCTGCAACAAAAGGAGATAAAATACATTTCTTATCTGTGGTCTGTACCATGTTCCCCAAAGAATCTGTAATTGAATGCAGACTTTAAACCTTAAACAAGAAAGAACAAGAACATGTTAACTGATAGAAAATTATAACAAAAAAAAGGCGGGGGGAGGAAAAGTAGAGAGCTTTAAAAGAAGATAAGTGAAATTACAGGAAAATATTCAGGAATACTGAAGAATAAGCATAAAAGTGATCTGTTACAGGCAAATAAGGTTAAAGGGAGATGGAATTATTACTGCAATCCTTTAGAAACTGGGTTATAATACCACAGAATCATTTAGCTACAGAATCATCATGATAGTCCTCATTTAGCAACCACAATTGGGACCAGCAGCTAGGTTATTAAGCAAAGCAGTCATTAAGTGGGAAATCACGTGACTGCGACTGTGCTTATGATTTTACTTCAGCTTTCCTTTTTCCCCACTTCCCTGCCCTTTGGAATGCTCACCCCAGGTCTGGGATAATTAGCAGGAAGGGAATTAATGTTTGTATTTACATTCATTGGAGAGGAAGGGATTACAAGAGAGTAAGCAGGCACACAATGGGGAATACATATTGAAAGGAATGTGTTGGTACTGTTTGCCTAGCGTGCTTGGGGCTGGGAATCTTTTAAAATCCTGTTTTATAGAGATGTCTTATAAAATATGCATAAATAGCTCTGAGCAGTAAAATGGTTCTATATGCTGTTCTATATTTGAGTCAGTTATTTAAAAATAACATTGCCTTTATAAGCAAAGAACCTATAAACCTTTTTTCTAGTTACACATTTGCTTCTTCAGAGAAAAATGTAGAGTTTTATATGTCTAGCTGGAGATTAAGCTAGGGTCAACGCATTTAAATTTATTTGCAGTTAAAATGGATGCTTCAATATAGGTCATCCTATAACTGAAACATTAAAACATGCATTTTAAACTGAAGTTTTGTGTACATTTTGTATTATTCATGCAAACGTTAATTTATTTGATTGTAATATCTTCACTGCTTTAGTTGTAGCCTCCAATAAATGCATAGATCGTGTGACATAGCAGGGAGATAGTTGCTTGTTCTAATTCTGTTACATTTCTGAAAGTGATGTGAGCACAGCTGGTGGAAGATGGTGTCTTGTGTCTCACAGCAGATCCTTTGTCTTCTAGAGCTATAATCCTCAGAGGACATGCTTCACTTTCATCCTACGGTTTTGCTAAGGCGGGTAGTCTCGAGTGCTAATTATTGAAGCTAGGGATTATAAAATACAAAGTGCACTTCAGTGGCATGTAAAACTATAGCATTGATTCACTCGGATTTTAGAAGGTTTTGCATGATAAAGTGTATTCGATCTCTGTGCATAATGCCAGAAATTCTTGGGTTAGCAGAGAGCAGCTCCAAGCAAGCATGGTGCAAGTTCACATGAAGCTGAGAGGCAAAATGAATGTCAAGGAGCAGCTGAAATCATTGTGGCAACTGCTGGCAGTAGCCAGGTAAGGCTATATATTGTGCTTTAAAATACGGTGCTCTTGTGGGTTGGAGGTAGTAATTCTGTAATAGCAACTGTGCCTGCATGAATTCCTTCATTTTTGTTACACCAGAAAGCTAGTGTGCCACTGGAAGAGATGAACGCTCATTTATCTGCTACAGAAGATTTTTTCTAAACTGAAATACTTTAATATTCCACATTATGACAGTACAATTCTTATTCAAAGAGCTATTATGCATACATTTGAAAGAAAAGGAACAAATGTATTTTTCAAACTGGTCTGTAATTTTTAATATGGGTATGTGAGTGAAAGGAATATTCTTTTAAATTGTAGAGTATTAGAATATAATTGTAGAACTAAATATGATTTTGAAATAGATGTTATAAATCATTTGTTTTTCTCAAAGGCGATATTTTGTAAACCGAATAATTCCATCATGTTGAAAGGGGATATATTTTTCAAAAATGTTTCCTGTTTTGTTGTACACTATGCATTAATCTGGATGTAGTCCAGCCCTACCTTTATATATAGTAGAAATTATCTAATATAAATATAAATCTGCATTTGGCTTTCAGGAGCCCTTTATCATATATAAATACATGCTTTGGAATCTCTACATTAATAACTATAATTATTGTAATTTTTAGTTTTCATAAATCAAATTTATATGTAAAATTCTTTAAATCCCTTTAAGATACATACATACCTACAGTTAATTTTGTTTAATGTTATTAAGACTTCCTAATGTTATGTAACAGAGATCCAGTGCTAAATCCTAATGAAAACACTTAATTTAAAAGAAAAAAAAATATTTTGACAGGAGGACATTTTATTGTAAATAACCATGACCACAGTATTTGGCTTTTTTTTTTTTTGCTTTATCACATTTTGTTTTGATTGTCTGTGAAATCTAAATGTGTCTCAAATCAGCAAATGAATTTTAAGCAACTTTCCTTTTTAATAAGGAAAGTTCCATCATAACATGTTCAAGTAACAGAATTTCAAAACAAGATTTTTTATTTTTATATTTTACAGTTTTTATAGAACATAAGATTAGAAATGAGGTTGCTTAATATGAGGTGGGATAAAAGCAATTGGACTAGAAAAATGTAAAAATATTTGCAAGCTAGAACAGGTAATAGTGGTCAGAGGATAGTAAAAAATTAGGTTACATGAAAGAAGGGCATCAATACAGAGTAATTTAGTTATTTATTTGTATGCTACCTCAATTTTGAGGTCACTCGAATGGTTAAAAATAGGCTTCCCAGCCCTATTTAAAGTGGTGGTTATCATCAGCAGAGACCTATATGCTGTAGCACTGGGATACCTTGAGAGGGCCTATTAGGAATCCTCCCTGCAGGAAGTGCTTACAACTTGGCTTAGATGGCAAGCCTTCCGTGTAGTGACCTCTTAACCTAGAATCTGCTTCCCTGGAGGAATATGCAACACTCTTTCCCCCTTATATTTCTCAAGTCAGTGAAAAGATTCTACCATGTTTGGCCATAGCTGACTGATTATAGCCATTTCATCTTTGCATGTTTTGTTTTTACTTTTGATATTTTCTGTTTTTCTACCTTTGTTGTACTCTGCCCAGAGTCTTACAACTGGGGCAGTCTATGACTATTGTAAATAAAGAAATCCATAGCTTTTTTGTTGTTTACACTCTAGTTCAAAGCCATACAAAATCAGGCAAAGAATAAAAGCAAAATAATCTATTGAAACATCAGATGCAATCATCATTTCCCATATAACCATCAGCTAATTCAACCACAGCATAATAAAACTTTATTCCTGGAAGGCTCTGTGGAAAAGTATTTTAACTGCCTTCCTGAATATTAATGTAATGTAATAGAACTTTGATTACTTCTATTTTATTATATATTTGGTATTACTACTAGTTCTGTCTTCAGTGGCTCAGATCCAGAGAAATGCAGAAATAGGTGGTGGTTTTCTCCCTTCCTCCAGTAGCACTCCTTTAGCTTCTTAGACACTCAAAAATCAAAGCTTCTGCTCAGGGAAGCTTTGAACAATCTTCCTTTCTGTTAAGTTATCTGTAGCAAACTATCCCAGTTCAAGAGGATCCCTTGGAGTCATTGGGGTCCTTCTTAGAGGAAGAAGGAAACCAATAGCTACCTTCTACTGATGCGTATCATAGAAGAATTGTATGTAAAGTCATCTTCAAGTTGAACTCAACTTCTGGTGACTTCATGGACAAGTCCATATAATTGTCTTGGCAAAGTACAGAAATAGCTTGCCATTGGCTTCTTCCAGAATATTTTTCAGTCTGCTACTTTCGGAATTTCCTCATCCTAGTAGAAGTTGTTGATAAAAACAGTTCAGCTGGAGCTGGGCCTTTTGACAGATACTATTGTAATATAATACATATACTATCTATCATGCAATCCCTTTTCAGGTCAAAGTTATGTAAAATGCAGACATTTATGTAAAGCAAGTTTGATGATAATTGCTTTGACATCAAAATTCATGGATATTCCCACTGTGCCTGGGAAGTTTCAGCTTGTGCAGATTTCCTCAGTTACTTCTGTGGTGTAAAATAGCTGTCCGCTTGCAAAGCTCGGGCGCTATTTTGCCTGATGCTCTTATAATCACTACCTCCTACTATTTAATGGACCCTTTTCTTTTTATTTATGCAACCAATACCGATGTATTTTCGCCTTAATATTTCTTTCTTTGTTTTTATTTCATTTATACTGCTTTTTTTTCCTCTGGAAAACACTGTTTAAAACAGCAGCCCTATTTTAGAATCCCGCCCCTCTTTACCCTGCTAATAAATTATCTTTAGGAATCAAGATTGCTGTTTCCCTGCTGAAGGCTGGCATGATGGTGTGTCTTGGCTTTAGGTCTTTTGTCCTGAATATAACCAGTTCCACTTATCCATGTGACTCCTGAAGGGTTTTGAAATCATCAGTGCTACCTTGTATTCCAGAATAGTTGCCCATCTAGGAGCTATGCTATTCCCACCCACTCAGTAAAAAGGTGGATGGATTCAGTTACAAAGGTGATGGGCGCACTGCTGGAAGACCTGAAGAACAAGGTTAGGAACAGATAGTCATGGAGAAAATATATGTGGTACCTAAGGGTCAACACTGAATTGATGGTATATAATAAATCAATCAGTCAATTGAAAATAAAATCCTACCAAAAGACCTGGTTTTGTATAAGTGGGAAACGTTTTTTTCTCTCCATTATGCTGGCTTGTTACTATAACGTACTGAGTAAAAATCTCAAAAATAAGGAGATATGAGCTTCAGTGCAAGAACTGCAGTGGAAGATTATACATTGCCGGCACTTGACTCCATTTAGATTGGCACACATATATCAGAATTATTCTTCCAAATGTTGGAGAGGTTGTTAAAAAAAAGGGGCCTTCACTTCATTTGTGGTGGTCATGTGATAAAGGTATACCCTTTTGGCGTAAAATTTTTGGAGAGTTAAGTACCATTACTAAACGAAGAATTGAATGCTTCCCAGATTCAGGCTTCCTGCATTTATTTACAGGACCAAATCTCAAGCTTAAAAAAGGAGCTTATTATCTATTTAATATTAGCAGCTAAAATAATAATTGCCCAACATCGAAAAATTCTAGATAATGTAACAATTGGTTTGTGGATTAACAAGGCCTCTTCAATTGCTAACTTAGAAAAAATCACAGACAATATTAAAATAATGAAACATCAGAAGCATGAACCACAATTCTATCAAATTTGGATGGATTTTATAGTTTATCTCAATAACAATAGACTATAATATGGTAGTATTTTACATATATAGAAAATTTGTACATATACCGTACCCATCTCTTTATTTACTTTTTAGTAGATTTCTTTGTATTTTCTGTATTTTTTTCCTCTATGCATCTTGGATTTATGTTAGTTACTTGATAATGTTTGTTAATCATAGTCCAATAAAATATATATACAAAAATAATTAGATATTTACTGAGTTGATTTCTTAGTTTACTGTAACAGTAAGTTCCATGTTTGTACAGTGCTAATATTTTAACTCCCTTGACACCTGTTTCTTAAACTTACAGGGTTCAGCTGCTCGGATGGACCATGAAACATCCAGTGTTATGAGTTCTAATAGTAATTACTCTGTTCCTCGGAGACTGACAAGTCACTTGGGTACCAAGGTAACCAAAGTTTTCTATAGATTTTCTAATCCAACATCTTATAATTAAAATATATTTTATATCCATATTGGCCTGTCTGAATTTATAATCAGTGATGGAGGCTCTAGTCCTATTCTGTTTAATGAATTATGAGAAATAGGTGCAAAAGTTAAGCATCATCTATCTGGAGATGAACTGGGCTTATTTTCTTTGTTTTTATATCTATGAAAGGTATTTAAACAGATATAATAATCTGCTGCTGTGGGATATTTCAGTGGTTTATACAGCTGCCTTTGATACTGCTTTTCAAAAATTTTCAGTGTTTTGTCTTTAGTAATTATTTACAATTTTCATGAAATCTGGGATTTAAGCAGTTATTTAATAGCTACAGAAGAAATACAAAAACCTGAATATTTCAAAAAACACTATACTGAAATTCAGGATGAAATGTATAGAGAGAGATACAGAGACAGATATCTATCTATGGTGAAACAGCCTGAAGATGTCCATAATTAATATATAACTCCAGAAATGCTTTTCAGGTCTAATGCTGTGATTGATTGATTGATTGATTGATTGATTGATTGATTGGACTTGTCCCCGCCCATCTCCCCACAATGGGGGACTCTGGGTGGTAATAATATTTTAACATACATCCTGAAAGAAGTTGAATGAGTCATCAGATTATGCATAACCTCTGCTAACGCTGGGATTCTTTAGACAAGAGGGAGGCAAGCTGATATCCAGATGTTTTAGATTTCAATTCGCTTAAGTATTTGCTATCTAAAATTTGCATATTCTACTATAGTCAATGTAATGAAATTTACAGCTGTAAGATTTAAGTCTGTTATATGCACTGTGCATATTAATAATTTTTCTCAGCCTAAAGTTAATCAGCTGCCATCCCTAATAGTAGGAAAAAAAGAGTCCCTTGGTAGAGTTTCATCTTACTTAGAATCATAAAGTTAGAAGAGGCAATTTAGCCCATTGAGTCCAATCCCCTGTTTGGTGCAGGAATTTAAATTAATAGTCTCTCAACAGATGGCTATTTAGTCTGCTTGAACACATCCAGTAAAAGAGAATCCACCACTTCTACCATCAGACTGTTTTTACTGTTAGGAATTCAGTCTGCTTTCTTGTCATTGGAACCCATTGTTTTGGAGAAAATATCTTGATCTTCTGTGTAATATTTTAATATAATATATTAAATTTAATATAATTTAATTTTTAATAATGACTTTTTATATTTTTATAATGATTGTTTTTAATATATTGTTATTCGATTGTTGTATGCCACCTAGAGTCACTTTTTATGAGATGGGCGGCCATATAAATTTGATAAATAAATAAATAATATCCTTTGAGGAATTTGAAGAAGGCTATCTGGCATTATTCACAGTTCCTTCAGTATCTCTTCATTGTGCTTAGTTTCTAAATTCCTAATTGTCCTCATTGCCTTTCTCTAAACTTGTTCCACTTTATCTGAATCTTTAAAGTGAGGTAGCCTGAACCAGACACAATATTCAAAAAGGGGGCTGACCTATAGAAAAGGAAGAGGAAATATTTTCTATCATTTGTATTTGCATTTGTATTATGTTTGCAGTTTTTGACAACCACATTACACTGTTGATTCATATTCAGTTTGCATTCAACTACTTATTACAAGATCTTTTTTATAAATACTGTTAGCAAGACTGGTGTTCTCAGTCCTGTAACTGTCCATTTCAATTTTGTTTCCTAAGTGAAATATTTTGCATTTGTCTCTGTTCAGTTGCATTGTTATTACCAGCCCATTTCACTGTTCTGTCAAGATTGCTTTGAATTTTATTTCTGTCTTCTACTGTATGTACTAGTTATGCCAACCAATTTTATGTCAGTTGCACATTTGGTACACATTTCTTCTGTATGTCTATCTTAAAAAAAATTATACCACCCAATCTCCAAGATTCTGGGCAGTTTACCTCAATATAAAAGAAGGCTTGGGACTGAACCTTGTGGCATTCCACTTGATACCTCACTCCAGTTTGATGAAGAACCAATGAAGAATATTATCTGAGTATGATTTTTGAGCAGCCATGTATCCATCAAATTCTCGTCATCTTATCTATTATACTGTATTAGATAATCAAAATGCTGTGTGGTAATTTTTCAGTGTTTTGTTCAAATCAAGATATATCTCCAGCGTTCCCACCATCTACCATGTAACTACCTGATAAGACATGTTCTTGACAAAATCATGCTGACTTCATAATTACCATAGATTTTATGGTAAAAAAACTGATTTATAAATCAGTCTCTTTATGATCTGCTCTAGAATTTTTCCAGGTATTATCAGACTGCATGATCTGTATTTCTCCAGATAAAGACAAATTTGCCTACCTCCAGTCATTTGGCACTTTACTATATTTCCAGGATTTTTCAAAGCTAATCATAAAAGTTCAGCCAGACTACTAGCAAGAATCACTTCTGCAAATATATTCCCAGTTTTTACTAAGAGAAATTTGACTTGCTAACTTTGTGCAAGCTGCTTTGTATATATTGGGAGCATTCACCTAAATTGTTCACATGGATTATGAAAAAGAATAGTGGGTGATCATGCACTTTTGATTCTTTAGTATCAAAAGCCAACGGGTCCTTTATTACCACCATGTTATAAGAAGGGTTATAATGTCAATGACCACCAAATTTATTTTAATTTGTCAGATTTGTTTTAAAGTAATTTAACTGTATCCCTGGCTATTCCTAGGGTTCTTCCTCATAGCCGAGGTAATGTGCATTTCTCCAGTACTGATTCAACAGAAAAATATGCTGCTATAGCTTGCACTGCATTAACAGCAGCCAAGGTTTAATCTGCTTCAATAATGAAACAGAGGAGGTTGCAGGGTAAAACAGGAAGGAGTTCCTTCCGGCTTCCTCCTGGCCCACATTCCACCCTACCAACCTGTCAGCTGGGTATTTTTGGACAGAATCTTCCATAAGTCTGGTATATAGGATTTCTGATCTTCCTGCTACTGGGGCTAAAAGGGGAAGGTGGCAGAATGCTTTTGATCTCACCCTGCTCATAATTATAACAAAACAGTAAGTGCTGCAAGGGAGTGGCAGTACTTCAATGAGTTATTAATGGTCAATACCAAAATGATTGCATGGATAACTACAAAATGACATTAGCACAGGAAAAATGGAACTGCATCTTTCCCAAATTAATGAAAACAGTAGAAAGTATTGTTAAGAACCTATCTGTTTGGAGTCAGACTCTGAATTGGAAGAGCAGGACATGACAGGTATTGACCTTGCAATTCAGGAGCCAGCAGTCTTTCAGATACCTGCAGATGAGGTTCAGAAGGAGCAGGACTGTTGGGGGATAAGCAGAACCAGATTAAGGCCAACTGATGCTTTAAGCATAGTCCAAAAAAGGTGCCCTCAGGCCATTCATTGCTTAACTGACAAGACATTAAGATTCAGTAAGTGCTAAAAACTAAAGTTGCATGTGGCAATGAAAGAGTTAAGGGCATGGTAGCTAGCAGAAAAACCTCTGGTGCCCCCCTTCTCTTGGTGTCCTAAGCACATGTTTATTTTGCTTAATGATTAATCCAGGGATGGGGATAAACCTACAAACGTGGAGCAGTCAGACCTGTTACAGAAGTACAGCAGCAGGCTGAATCATCTGACCTAGAGCCTGAGCAGGAAAAGATCCTCAGCCCTCACACAAATATTGAGTAGAATAGAGATGTTCAGTGAGGCTCCTTAAAAGAAAAAGGCATGACTCAGGAAGATAGATGTGTCTGAGTTATAAAAGAAGAGCTTGGGAGTCAGACTTCTGTTGGCAGATGCCTTTCCAGTCTCGGACTTGGCTTCTATAACATGTTCTGATTCCCTGACTGACCTTTGATAACAGGAACAGGGCTTAATCTAGATACTTCCGCTCTATGCTGGACTGGGCAGAATACACCGTGAATACTGTGCCACAATACGAGAAGGATGCTGAGGTACTGGAAGGAATGCAGAGAAGAGCAACAAAGAAGATGAGGAGCTTGGAGGCTAAATCCTGTGGAGAACTGTTAAAAGAACTGGTTGTGTTTAGCCTAAAGAAGAGACAGCTAAGAGAAAACATGAACTCAGTCTTCCAATACTTGAAACGCTGTCACAGCTAAAAAGATGCAGATTTATTCTCCAAAGGGTAGGACAAGAACCAGTGGGTGGAAGCTTTACAGAGAGAGAGCCAAATTTGACATAACAAGGAATTTCCTGACTATGAGAGCTATTAAGTAGTGGAACAGCCTGGCTCCTGGAATCTTGGGTGCTCCATCATCGGAGGTTTTCAAACCAAGCTTGAACAACCGTTTGTCTGGAATGATTTGAGCATTCTAGCCCTTGGCAGTAGGTTGGACTAGAAGACTTCCAGGAATCTTCCAACCCTGTGTTTGTGATTTTCTAATAATGCAAAATGTAATATTAATACACCTGATCTTATTTATGACTTTTTAAAAAACCCAGCTCTATACATACAACACGGGGTAAATTTTTACTTAACAGTGAATTCTTTATTCTTATCCATCTGGACAATCTATTCTGTGGGAAATATTTTTACTTGCAAATGCTTTTGAAGTATTTTATGAACCATAAGGTATTTTCAGAAGGCCAACCAGCTTTTATTGATGTATTTCAAATCAGATTATCTTGTAATGTGTAAAATCTAGCAAGTTGTCACTTTTTAGTACTTATTTCAGTTTTATGAAATGATACAGTCAGTGTGCCTGTTATGATGCTGTTAATATTGTTAAATGGTATAACATCTGATTACTGCTAAATAGTTTGAGTTGAATGCTAATGCATAATTGTTTTGGAGTACTTTGGTTACCCATAGAAATTATTGCTACCCAAAAAGGATTATGCAGTGCTTTTAGATTTTAAGTATGTTTTAATATGGCACATAAACTGAATGTTTGTATTATATAGTATTATATGGACATCTCTCTCTATATATATATGTGTATATATAGAAACAATATTTATATTGAAGTAGTATTCATAAATATCTACATATAACTGAAGTCACACTAGAACATTTGTGTTAGTATATGCCATCCACTTTAACTGTAGGTAACAGCGTTTCAAAACTATTTGCTTTGCAGGTTGAAATGGTGTATTCACTGCTGTCAATGTTGGGTACTCATGATAAAGATGATATGTCACGAACATTGCTAGCCATGTCTAGCTCCCAGGATAGCTGCATAGCTATGCGCCAATCTGGATGTCTTCCTCTTCTCATTCAACTTTTGCATGGCAATGATAAAGACTCTGTGTTGTTGGGAAACTCACGTGGAAGTAAGGAAGCCCGTGCCAGAGCCAGCGCAGCACTACATAATATCATTCATTCCCAGCCTGATGATAAGCGAGGCAGACGAGAAATACGTGTCCTCCATCTTCTAGAACAAATCCGAGCTTACTGTGAAACTTGCTGGGAATGGCAGGAAGCACACGATCAGGGCATGGACCAGGACAAAAATCCAAGTATGTTGGTTGTAGTTCAGGTTTCAAAACCTTTGTGAAGTATTCTTTGGTGTTATAGTTTTGAACTCTAGCTATTTGTGGAATTCATTTTTCCAAGCAAGCTGTTAGAAATGCAAGATGCAAATAGGAATGGGCAAATTTATCTAATTTAGATCATGCCATTTTTGCCATAAAGTATATATAACTGTGTTGAGTGGTGATTTTAACATGTTCTAAAACTATATTTTGATATGATTAAATTTTCTAATACCTTCAACTTAAGGTTAAGTATGAATTACCTAAGTAATAAATTTCTAGCTGTATAGTAATCGGAGATATATAGATTAGGTGGTTTAAAACTGGAATTTAAAACAATATAGGAATTTCTAACTAACATTTGTAGAGAAGAGCTATGTTAGTCTGTGGTGGCAAGATATTAGATGCATCTGATGAAGTGAGTTGCCACTCATGAAGACTTGTGCTTTTTAATAAAATATATTAGGTGGAAAATGTGCTACCAAACTCCTTCTGATATTATACTAGCCTTTGAAATTTCATATGTGATGTGGAAACAAAGTTGCAGTATTTAAAATTAGATCAGTATTTTTACATCAGTTGCAGCTCTCCATATCTGGGGACTACAGAGTTCTTAATGGAGCCTCAAAATATTTTGAATTCAGAACATTATGAATCTGAAACACCCTATTTCAAATTTAATATAGGACTTTCAAATCTGAAACTAATTTGTTTCAATCTTTCTGGATATCAAAATACTTCGGATTTTTTTTTAACTAACTATTAAATTTTAAAAAGAAAAATAGTAAAACTAGCAAGAACTAATAGAAAGAAAAAGAAAGAAATAGTCAGGATTAAATGTGTGAAGAGCAAGAAAAGAAAAGAAAAAAATACAACATACTTTCATTTTTTTCCTGTTTGAAATACTTCAGAATTGTTGAAACACCAATTCTGAACATGAAACAACTGTTTCAAACTTGAAATGGAGTATTCCACATTTCTAAATGTTTTCCACATCTTTAGTTTTAACTTCTAAAATCCATTAAATATCTTTCTGGAAGCACAGCATTCAGTGCAGGAAGCAGGAATAAGCTTTGTGTTTGTTTCCCCTAAGGAACTGGGGTTCTGTAACATTGTAGTTGGATTTAAGGTGTGTCACCTATAAAAATTGGTGAGAGATTGCTAACTTTGAAGCACTTAAATGTGAAGTATAAGCTGTGAAATGAAAAATGGTGACATGTTCATAGAAGCTGCTAAAAATAGAGAGGTTCCTGGGATTGCACAAGGATCTTGAAGATACGTGGAAAGCTGCCTATTTCATGATCTTTAACATGATTAAGTGATTTGCATAGGGCGTTCCAGGAATTTTTTTTAAAAAAATTGTGCTGAAGTCACTTTGTAACAATCATAATATGCATATATTTTGGGTTTGAGTAGCACTTCCTTTGCCATCAGTTCAGTAGCACCTTCTCCATCCCTCTTGGAATAGCTTGACTGGAAGTCTGAATTCTCATACTATTCTCAGCAGTGGTAGGTTTACACTAAACTGAAGTTACATGGAAGTGATTATGAGCGGCAGGCCCCTTTGATCTTTGGCAATAGCTATCACATTCATTGACAGCATCTTTACTATTGTGCTATATCAGATGTGAAGTCTGGAGATATTATTACTGATCTGTTGTTGATACATAACTGGCAGACTTCAAAGTTTTTTTAATTGTAAAAGCTTAGACAATTATATATGTTAGACTGCATCTGTTTAATAAATAGTTTGAAAGTGTAAATTTAAAGTTTTTGTTGTATTCTTTAATTGATACATGAAATGAAAATGATTCTTTGTTCTGACATAGTGCCAGCTCCAGTGGACCATCAGATCTGTCCTGCGGTATGTGTTTTAATGAAGCTTTCATTTGATGAAGAGCATAGGCATGCAATGAATGAACTTGGTAAGAAAAAAGATTACATTGCAAGAAACAATATCTTTCTCCTTAATATACAGTTGTAAAAAGAAGGTCTTAAAGACAAAGCATTTGGTTGCTGGAAGCAGGAATATGTTTTGTACAGATAAATGCAAATTGACATCAGAAGGAAGAGTAGTTGGTTTCACCTAAGGCTAGAAGGTTTTACCTAATAGAAATCAATGTTTTTATTAGGTTTATTCAAAGGTTTTAAAAAATGAATACACTTTTCAAGAGTTCTTCATTATGCAAAAGCATACTGGGAAAAATGGGGGAATGCTGACAGTACAGTAAAACTGCACACTCATAAGAGGAGAAATATAAATTAGGGTTTGTCTGGTGCTCTAGCAGTTTCAGTTTGCACCAGGACTGCTTGGAAGAAAAAAATGTGCAATTGTTTGAGCTTCCATTTTTAAAAATATAAAATCTAGGAATTACTTAAATTATCTTACTAGTGGAAAACAATAAAAATGAAGCAAAATAATGATTTTATTAAAAAATCAGTAAACAAGAAATACAAATTGATAACTTTATGCTGTATTTAGAAGGAAAAAAGCCTCATTCTCAGAGTTTTTTAGGATCTAATTTTGAATGGCTAAACCCAGTATTCTTCAGGTTACACACAAAATAAAGGAAGCTAGCCAAGAGAAGCATTCCAAAATCCATATTGGCGTTGTAGCTCTATTATGCCAACAGAGAGATCTCACACACACACACACACACACACACACACACACACACACAAGCTTTTCCACCAATTTAATTAAACTGTTATATTAACTGTTACATGCATTATCTAGAGTGGTCAAATTAGATTTATC